TCCAATAATTCATATTTAGATTTTTATAAGTATTTATTTTATATATAAACATGAAGTGGCAGATTATATGAGATGACGTGTAGATCTGGTCTGGATCAAGAATCCGTTTGAATACCAAAGTCCTAGATATATTTTTATTACTATTGTCTAACACGGTTTCTGTTTGGTGCATAAAGCCCCAGATTTAATTAACTACCCAGTGAGTCAGGTTGGAAAATAAGATCGGTTTTTAAGGACTCTAGTGTTTCCACTCGGGCCGCTTATCCAAGCTGGTCTAAGCTTGTCAAAGCTGGTCAAAGCTTATCTAAGCTGGTCTTAGCTTGTCCAAGTTAGTCATAGCCACCACTACGTAACACATGTCACGCAACGGTCGGGGAAACGCAAGGGAGGAGAGAAGGCCTCCGGTACGGAACAGATACTATAACCCCAAACCTCCTCTACGAATCCGCCTGGAAGTATTTAGCTGGGTGAGAGCTCCTTTTTGTATAAAGCCCTGATTGTGTGTTGAAATCCTAAATGTTTGCATAGTTCCCAGCTGATCACCATTCACACTCAATTATGCATTCTTTATCTTCACAAAATGGAAAATTTTTATATGCTATTTTCTTGTGACTTATCTCTGCATATCATATTATTATTAATTCATTGGATGTTCAAGCCAACCATAACTGGTGGATTACACACTGGGGATTAAGTGACAGTAAGTCATTTTAATACTCTAGCACTTTCCTTCGTATTTCTCAGCAAAGATAACATCTTGATCGTCCAAAGTTATTAACTGATTTTCAGTTCCTTCGCGCATTTTCCCGAGTTTTGGAGGACCGTTTCTAGCATTCCGATAACGACCGTCATCTGCATGTTCACCAATTTCCTCGGTTACCTGGAAAGGTCTAGATGTTAATCTATCTTTATCCTTTCCTTCATCTTTACTCTATGCTCTACTGGCATATTTTCTTCTTGTATACTAGATTTGGTCTTTTGACCTGGATTGGGGGGGGGGCTATTTGAATCCCAAAGCTCCAATATACGTTTCCTCTTCTAGAACAAATTCTTCTTTATGCCTTTAAATACAGATTTTTCTCTGACTCTTGAAACATAAACAACAATGTTTAAAGAAATATATTTCTCTTCCAATTTTTGACTTCGCGATCTTGTACTTACAATCTATCATTTCACCCTTCTATTCCTTTTTTAGAGCAGGTATCGGCTATTCTAATCAATCTTAGCTTACTTTCTCTAGTGTATTCTTTGAGTATTTTAAACACTGAACCGGTGTAATATATTCTTTATTAAAGAAGACATTCTGTTCTTGAGTCATGGAGTCAACACGGCTACTCACAATTCCATAATCCTCAGAGAATAAATGATGAGTTTTCTTTTACGTATGGGGCTTAATAATAACAATAATAATATTATTAATAATAATAATAACAATAACGCAATTTATCTTTGAAGATCTTCAAAAAGCTATCAAAATACAAGGACCTTTAAATCGAAATCTCAAAAATGTGGCACATGGGAACATCAACAATCCCAGTTGTAGTTGGAGCCCTCGGTTTGGTTGGAAAAAGTTCCAGTAGACTAATTGAAGGGATTCCTGGAAGCCCATACCTTAAAGGAATACAAAAAATTGTTGTCACGAATACAGCCCACACCTTACAAAGGGCTTTATCTATGTAAAATAACGATTTTTTTTTAATTGGTCAGTGGAAAATGTCATGATGCCATTTCTAACCTTAGGTCTCTGGGCGAGACCCTGAACGAAATGTGTAAAAATTATTATTATTATTATTATTATTATTATTATTATTATTTCCTTTGATTTCTTGTGTATACTCTTTTCTTTCTGGGTCTCAACAAGCAATTTAAGGTCAGCAATAGCAACATGACATTTTCCACACATTACACACATCTTACAAAGATAGCACCCTTTGTAATATGTGAGCTGTACTTGTGAGTATAATATTTTGTATTTCTTTTCGGTTTGGCCTGCCAGTGATCCCTTTCCAATGAAATTGAGGGCTGCAACTAGTAAGCGCCATATTTTTGAGATTCGATTTCAAGTTAGTTTTTGTTAGTTTTTTGTGGGGAGACCTTCAAAGATACATTACAGTCTACAGGGACTGCCATGTCAATAAGAAGAAACATTCTTCTTCGCTGACATTTAGATATTTATAGGTTTCTTCTTGTAAGAGTTCCCTAATCTTTGTGGCATAATCTAGAGCTATTGAGTTTGTTTCTGTAATTCTCCCTTCTTGAGTATTACTAATCTTTATTATTAATTATTTATCTAATCCGAAATCCGTACCGATGTCACCACTGAAACATATTAAGAAGACCCTTCAACTTACTGTCGTCTTTGGCAAAGTTTAATACCCATGTTGAATAGGTGATTAAACACATTCTTTTTTTACTTTGTAACTTATCTTTTGCATATCTCTTTGTGTAGTAGCAGTCATAGTACAGTTCTCCGCGTCCTGAATAGCAAACGGGTTTACTAGGCATAGCCTTTATGTTTGTCAGTTGTTCTCTATTTATACTTGTCTATCTAATATGCATACGATACTATAGTATCCATAAATATTACTGTTTAGTTCATGCGAAAGTGGGATTAAGGACAGGTAAAACAGAAATGACGACAGAGAGTCTTCTTAAAAGATTCCTCGTCGGATAACAATTGGAAGTGGGAGTACATTTGGTGTGATTTAGATATAATGTAGTTTTACAGTTTCGTGCCGGATTTAAAGAAATTTACTATTACCACGGAGATTTTGTGTGTTTCCAAAGCCTTAAGGATCCTAGAGCGTGGAACACAATCAAAAGCTTTCAAATTTCGCAATTTTCCATGACCATTTTATTTATTAGTAACCATATAAACCTCTTCAACATCCCTTCTGTTCCAGAGGAAGAATCTTGTTTTCACAGAGAAAAGAGTAAGTACCGTTCGTCACGTGATCAATTTATATGTAAGTGGACAGACATGTTATTGACCTATAATTTTTTTTGGATCACCTGTTTTATCCGTTTTTTTTTTTAGGATATTGTAATGCCTTCAGTGAGACATTCTGGAATGTCATTGGGTTTATTAATTAGCATTGATGAAGCCTGTGCAAGGGTTTGTCTGTTAATCTCGATCTCCAGGTCCTTGTATTTGGACAATTTCTTGATAATTTTCATGAAAGCTGTTTCTCTCAGATGTTACTGCGTACACATTTTGTGCTTCTTGCATATCTTCCACTGCACATATGTCGCTACCTTGTTATGCGTGTGGGTAGATTCATTTCTTGCTAGTTCCGGACTTCCTGAGCTAATATGGTCGACATATTTTCCGCAGATCCTGCATTTCGGGTTATTTCCATGATTCATTAAGTGACAATGATAGGAGGCTTTGTTTCTGAGCTCCAATAATTAGGCTTTCTGTCTCATCTTTCAACTAGGTGCTCCTCATCCACTAATGTGTTTACTGTTGACCAACATCTGCTTCTTTCGTTCTTTTTAGGTATTTGCCATGCAACCACTTGTCCTCCCATTTTTTTTTCGTATTTTTCTTTGGCCAACTTTTTAGATGGCGTTCATTTCGTTTTTTGTTTGGTAGGATTTCAGGTATATTAAACTGTTTCTTGAAGGGTGCAGCTTCTTTGTTGATGGAGTGGATTTGGTGTTTTACTATTTATAGGAGAGGATTATTGGTTTTTGTGGTTTTTAGAGTTTGTTCAAGTTTGATTAGAGCTCAACCTCCTAAAGCTCTTTGTACTTACAGTCTATCAACATCTGATTTTGGGTAGTGTATCCTCATTTGGATAAGGATTTCCTGGTCTTGACGTCCAATATTTTAATGTCATTTAACTTACTACAAGTATAGCTAAGGTGTTGATAGCCTTCCTTTTATTGGCCCCATTTAGTTCGCTTTCTAGTACCAAAAGCACTCTTCGATAATATTCTTTTCGGATCTTTTTCTTCATAACTAAATGTTATATTCCGATTCCTTCATTAATTCCTAAATATTTGTATGTACCATCTTAGTCTAGTTCCTTAATCTTTTTGTTGATATTAACATCTAAACCTGTAGTTTTCTTGGAAAGTTATTGAGCAAGTGATTGAAAGTGTTGCGAACAGTATTTATGATTTAAGATAGTGAAGAGTTTCCTGGCATTTTTCTTAATGCCTGTAAAATGATCCATTCTAATTATTCTTAGTGATCATCATGTTAGACATGGGGGAGCAACGATGAAGTTTTAGAGAAAATGGAAACAAAAGAGGATACTTAACACCAGAAAGAAACAGAATATCTAGCGCACATAATGAGAAAAGAAGGTTTGTAAAATTTGATACTCACAGGACAGATTGAAGGCAAGGTGGAAAGCGGGAAATAACTAGTAAGCTACCTAGCAGGCTTAAGTAAATGGACAGTAGAACAATTTTTAAGAGAAAACTTATGAAGAGCTACAAAGGACAGAAAATTGTGGAAAGTCATGATCGCCAACGTCCTGAAGGAACACGATACATAAAAGAAAAAGATGGCCATCTTTAAATGCCACATTATTGCAATATTTCCAGGCTTCCAGTTCGAAAGAGCCATGATTGTCCAGGTGTGTCCAGACGTGTATCAAATATGGCTGACTGATAGTACGATCAGTATGTATGTATGTATGTATGTATGTATGCCTTATTATTATTATTCCTCTTTTCTCAATATTATCTTTCTTATTATTAATATTCTCAACTCTTATTTCCACGATGTGCGTACTTTTCTGATCTGTAATTCTTCTTACCATTTCTTGATGTTTATTCATATTTCATTAAAGTGCGTTGTGTATCTCTCTTTGCTTTTGAATGATTTATTATTTCCTTCATTTTTTTCTTTTGTTTCTTCTTCCTCTAGGAGTCTAGCACCATCTTCTCCCGGGGTATTTCAACACCTGACTTGTGAAATATGAACGGGTTGTGTCCGGATTGATTATGTTAACAAGCGTCCCATTACGGTGGTAGACGGCTGCATGTTATTTGGGAAGAAAAATAAAAAGGAAATTAGAGAAGAAGAAGAAGAAGAAGAAGAAGAAGAAGAAGAAGAAGAAGAAGAAGAAGGAGGAGGAGGAGGAGGTGGGAGAGTATGAACGAAGAAGAGGAGCAGAAGAATAAGGAGGAGGAGATGAGGAGAAGAAAGTAGAAGAATATGGAAGAGAAGAAGAAGAAGAAGAAGAAGAAGAAGAAGAAGAAGAAGAAGAAGAAGAAGAAGATGGAAGAGGAGGGAGACTATGAACGAAGAAGAGGAGCAGAAGAATAAGGAGGAGGACGACGACAACGACTAGAAGGAGGAAGAGGAAGAGGAGAAAAGGAAGAAGAAAGAGAATAAGAAGGGGAAAGGTGAAGAATGTGCAAGCGAAGAAGAAGAAGAAGAAGAAGAAGAAGGAGGAGGAGGAGGACAACGATGACTAGGACGAAGAGTGAGATGAGCAGAAGAAGAATAAAGAGAACGAGAAGGAGAAGAATAAGAAGGAGGACGAGGACGACGACTAGAAGTAGGAAGAGGATGAGGATCAAAAAAAGTAGGTTCTCCTACTTTTTTGATCCTCATCCTCTTCCTACTTCTAGTCGTCGGAGGAGGAAAAAGAGAAGGAGGAGGAGAACAATGAGGAATTGGAAGAGGAAGAGAAGTACAACAACAACAAAAAGAGCTGAGGATGATGATTATGCTAATGATGATGATGATATGATTCAAACGAATAAAAGATATTAATGGAACAATGGAAAGGAAGAAATAATAAAAACATCAAACTTGCTATGGAGTCATCGACACTGAAAAACGTGGATTAAATGAAAATAAATGATTTCTTTCATCCAGCCACACTACGCACTCCATATTCCGTAAATTTCTTTCTTTCTTTCTTTCTTTCTTTCTTTCTTTCTTTCTTTGTCTTCCTTTATTTTTTTTGTCTTTTCGAGCTTAGCCCAATTGTCAGGGGCAGTTATTCGAATAAATGCGGGAACTTTGAATGCTGATATTCAAACAGGCATCCCTCCCCCTCCTCCTCCTCCTATCCATGGGAAAGTGGCATGATACAATCATCCTTTACAGATTTGTAACATTTACACTTCATTTGGGTGCGTTAGATTAATCCAGCCTTAATAATTATCTATGCATATATATATATATATATATATATATATATATATATATAGTCATACAAGTATCATTGAAGAAGTCGGACAAGGTACTGCATTTAAGTTTTTCATTTACTTTTTTTGTGTCCATATGAGTTTTTTTTTTCTTTCTAGATATAAAGGGTGTAAAAATTGTCCGAATCTTTTATACGTGAGAGCGCTTTCGGCAATTCTTTTAGCCATTATCAAGGAAGTTTTCATTTTTTTTTATTTTAATCCTCAACTAAAATAAAAATATCATCTACAGAGCAGACATATATATGTCCGCTTTGTACGTGATATTGGTGCCCAAATATACAATTATACTTACACATATACACACACATTCAAACATACACACACACAGCGACACACAGACACTCACACACACACATATATATACACTGCGTTTGGCATGAAACTATGAACGATGTGGGATAATATGTATATTCATTAATATATATATATATATATGAAAGACAACAGGTAAATTTTTCTTAAACACGCGATTCGTCTCCTGAGGATCTTTATATCTAATTTTTTATGCACGCACGCGCGCACTCACACACACAAATGTATATATATATATATATATATATATATATATATATATATATGATTTATTCACTCATTTGTAAATGAACATCGAAGAGATTTCCATTCCCTCTTTTGGTACACTTTTATTATGAATTAGGCAACGCTTTTTCTTAATAAATGTGCTTAATTAATACGATTGAGAAATTTTCGCTTTCAAAAAGTTTCGTTTGAAAAATGTCTACGCAGATACTGCAAGAAAATGAATAAATTGCAATTTCCCCAAACAGGATTTTAATTCAAGATTCAAATCAGTCGCAACAACTTTCCACTTAGAATTGTTCAGACATAAATGTATATATGCCATTTCTAGTCTTTGTTCTATGTACTCGCGTTTGTGTGTGTGAGTGTGTGTGTGTATGTGTACAAAATTAGAAACTGTGAACGTTTTCTTTTTATTCCCAGTAGAACGTTATGTCAGGTAAAGAGATAAGATTCTTGAAAGAGAATCGAAAATAAGAGTGTCGGCATGACGTGCCATTCCGAAAAATTCCTACTCTTGAAAAACATGCCAACAAAGAACGACTATAAGATCTCAGCTGAGAAAAGAACCAAGTCCTACTTACCAATATCTACACTCAATTCTGACGTCAGTAATTTGACCATGAAACCAGAAAAAAAGGCGTTTGAAATTCGTATTTTGTCACATGGTTTAAAGATGATTTTTTGAAACAAAGGCATGCATCATAAAACTTCTGACCAATTTAACAAAACGACTCGCCAATGAAAGATTTTAGAATACCATAGAGGAGACTGAAAACTTGTGTAGCAATGACCTTGGACTTTTCTATAAAATAATTGCATCACACAAAGTTTGTTAGTAATTGTGCTAAACGTTGTAGAATGAACGCGTCTATACTGCACATCGTTTTTCCCTCCAAGTTGAAAATTGATAAATGTTGAAGAGCTATTTTCTGTGAAATTTTATTTCAAATTTAGAAAAAAAAAATTTACAGAAACATATAAGAATCCAATACAGAGGATTCTCTAAGAGGTAAGTAATGTTACTTGGGTAAAAATATCAGACATCCTCAAATGAGAAATGTTGATCGTCTTTTTCGATTGGGAGGATATCGTTCATTATATGTTTGTTCTACGTGATCACAATCGGTCACCGAAATTCTTATTTCGAGGGACGGAGAAAGGCAATGCTAACAACAAAACTTAAGGTACAAACAAACAAATCCTGGAGGTAACAATAACGCAATTACACGAGAAAATTACTGACTCACGGCCACCTAAGTCATCGTGTTTGGCACATGTGAGCCATTTGTCCCCAAAGCTGAATTTCCTGAATTTTCGATAGAAGCGTTAGAAGGCAATGCGCATTATTCTTCAAGATGACTTCAAGAAAACATTTTCCAGAACTGGATAAAAAGTTGAGAACGGTATATCAGCAGCGGGAGGGGGGGATTTTCAGCAGGGGAAGGCCGACCATTTTAAGAACGTTGTTTCAGCAGTGGAGGGTGGACTATTTTGTGAACCGTGTATCAGCCGTGGCTGACAGAACGGTATACCAAGAGTGTAGGGTGGACCATATTAGAGACAGTGTGTAACTAGTGAAGTGTGGACTATTTTGAGAACGGTATATCAGCAATGGTGTGTGAACTGTTTTGAGAACAGTGTATCAGCAGTGGATTGTGGACTATTTTGGGGAAGATGTATCATCAGAAGAGGACGAACTATTTTGAAAGAGACAAGTTTCATTAAAGTAAAAAAGTAAATTTCTTTTTGTATACTCCGCGTATCGTATATTTACGAGAGACAGATAATATTACGACTTATAATAAGTTTTTGTATCATCTTTCAGTTCTCTCGTTCTTAAAAGAGTTTTTTAATTCGATCTTCTTCCTTTTTCTTGAAATTCATTATCCTTGAGTTCCTTCTCAGACTTGACGACCACCTTGAGTACACAACCAATCGTTCAACAAGCATCTTAAAAAATATTTGCCACAGCAATATTTTTTTTCAAAATTTGTTGTCCAGTTACATGACTAAAAAGGAAATTTTTATAGTTTACTCCATAATTATTATTATTATTTTAATATTAATATGACCTGCACGTATCTAACTACTAATCTATAGAGCACTGTACTATGCTTTAAAACATACTGGCACTATCGTCACTCCTATATTCCCACATGATTCTATGGTTCTATAAATAGTTTCTAATCTATTGCATGATTTCTTCAATTTCCTATTCTATTACATTCAGTGAGGGGTTCTCTTCACTTTTATAAAAACAACTTACGCTTTTTAATAATATCAGTCATTAGTCATATCAATTCACATCTACTTTATTTAGTCTTACAAGTATTAGCCATGGACTATGCCATTATGAAGGTGATTTTGATTCGAAAAAAACAAAAGTAAAAAAATGTAAAAGTTTCAAGAATAGACTGCATGTAAAAGAATTGACACACACACACACACACACACACACACACACACACACACATATATATATATATATATGCTTCATTAAATCAATGACCGATAACGTACTGCGGTTAAGTTTTTAATTTAATTTTTCTTGTGTTCTTATAATTTTCTCCTTTTCTGGACATAAATTATGCAGAAATTGTCCGAAAGTTCTGTATGTCCAAACGCTTTCGTCTATTCTTTTAGACATTATCAAAGAGCACTTTTAACTGAATGTATGAATTGTTTTATGTATATATCTAGAGTTATAGGAATGTTTTATTTTCAAAAATACTTGATAATGGCAAAAAAAAATAGCCGAAAACGCTCGGACATACAGAACATTTGGACAATTTCTACATAATTTATGCCCAGAAAAGAAGAAAGAATTATAAAAACACAAGGAAAATAAAATAAAAAACTTCAATGCCTTCAGTCGTTTTTAATTAAATTTGTATGAAAGTGGGATTGATGCTCAAATACACTATATATATATATATATATACATATATATATATATATATATATATGCGTGTGTGTCTGGTTGTGCGTTCATGCGTGCGTGCATCATTATCATATGCTTAATGCAATTTTTCCCCAGATTAAACTTAAAGAAGGAATATTACGAATGTGCATCTTATATTTTCCTCGTGTTCAACAGAATAAATAAAACAGTTACACGAACATTTCTGGCACTGAAATAGACTTCCATGTTTTCCCTCGTATTTTGGGAAAATGGCATCGGGAACTTATATAACTTATTATGTAGTTCCCCATTTAATCTTATTTTATTTTAATTATTCGCAATAAGATTACTTTTAATCGGTCACAAGGCTAAATAAGGAAAATAAGGTGGGGAAGATTATGTTGCTGAGTTAAGTTTCTCAATAGAAAAATTGTGTCTATCACAACACCGTGTTCGACGTTCGATGCCAGTACTCACAGTTCGAACCTCTGTAAAATCCAAGGCCTCGACAGTCAGTACTAAATATCCAACTATCTATCAAAAAGATTCGGCTTTTTTGACACAAGGACACAACTGTGAAGTACAAAATTAGAATCGAACTCACTATTGTAGTAATGATACATGAGGCAATCTTAAGAATTATTAACTGTAGACGATTCTCTTTGTTCTGATAATATACCCTGAGTCCATTGGGGCGTAACTTTGTTGTTTTTTCTTAAACGTCCTGAACGGGCAAAAAGAAGAATTATTTCTTTGTTTCTGTGTTTTTTAATTTATTAATCAAAATTGGGGGTGCCTCTTTGAGACTTTTCAACCTGAGGTCAGAAATGGCATTTTCCACTGAACATACACACACACACACACATATTTTACATAGATAAAGCTCTTCATAAGGTGTTGAGCTGTACTTGTGGGTACAATTTTTGGTATTTCTTTAAGGCATGGGCTACCAGAAATCTCTACAATGAGTCTATCAAAACCTTTGCTATCAAACCGAGGGATTCAACCCCAACTGATTTCCACTTCAAGATCCTTGTATTGTGATGTTTTTTGTTTTTTTTTTTGTTTTTTTTTAAGGTCTTCATACATTAGAGTCTGTAGAAGCTGCCATATCAATAAGAATGCACATTCTGTTCTTGCGGTTTCTAATCACGATGTCTGAGCGATTAGCTTGGATTGTTCTGTCTTTGTGCATTGTAAAGTCCCATAAAATTGTTACAGGTCCTATGTCTGTAACCGGGTCTGCTGTTATTATTATTATTATTATTATTATTATTATTATTTCATTTTTTTCTTTTACGTTATTTTTCATCTTCAAAATGAAATTGAAAAAATAAAACGCTGATATTCTCTGCGTTTGTTCGTCTTTAAAAAAAAAACGAACGAAAAAGAAAAAATCCATTCTTGACTTTCATTTTCACCTCGACTTTCCCACGCCTCACTCTATCTTCACGTGATGTGAAGACAGTGTTTTTTGTTCGTCGCTAATCTCACTCGATCTTTGAGCCACGTCTTCTCTAGCGACATTCCAGATTAGTCGAGTGTGAAATTGAAATGACACACACACACATATTTCACCTACAAACCTACATGCGCACAATTATACAAAAATAAAACAACTTATACAGAAAATAAAAGTAACTATGAACAACATACCTGAAGGTAATAGATATTTAAATAAGGAAACGTATTGGTAGTTTATCCTTTTTATATTTCGATATTTATTCGCCTTGTCATCAGAATATTGTTCGTAGAAGTGATTTTTTATAAGGAGAGCATACGGGGTAATACCGTAAGTAAAAGAATCAACTAAAGAAAGAGTTAATAGCGGAGTTGTGGTTAGAATTAAAAAGTATGTCTTACAGCAATGTGTAAAAAGAGTAATGGAAATATATAGGATAAGTAGGTTTATTTGGAACTATATCATCGCGATTGAATTACGAAGAATAACTAAAACGAAATGCAAAGAGAACTCAAATTTGAAAATTTATCAATATTTCAAAATAGGATTTCTGCTTCGTTTCGTAAAATAAATCTAAAGGTAATAATAATGTTTCTATTATTTTATTGACTTTACACAAATTCATCTACAATTCTTTGTGTTTATCGCAGCATTTAGGCCGATATGTTATTCAGCTTTCATTAGATGTATACTGAATCATGTTAACTAAAAGTACAAAAGAAGAGACAATTTAAAGTGGTCTAAGTCTTTCAGCCTGAATAAATGACATGTTCGATAGGAGAGAGCCACACTCTTAATGTTCGTATTGCAGATCATACTAGAAAAGAAACACCTTCAGAAGAGAGATACGAGAAAGAAACGTATTTCATTTTTGTGTACAAAATCCTAGTAAAGAAGGAGCAACTTGAGAAAGTCTGTGTTTTTCAGCTTGAAAAAAATGATCTGACAGGATAGAGACACATCAAATGTTCGTCTGACTGATCGTTTCAATGATCTGTTTTAGAAAGTAAAACGAGAACAGTTTTTCAGAGATCAAATGTTTTCTAATGTGTGACACTTCCTACGGGGGAAAGGTTTTTGCTTATTTTTTATTGAAATGTTTCTTCACATGAAACTTTACCATTCAGAAATATATGTATACAAAGTCAATGTTGCAGATAATCTCCAAAGTCATCTCAAAAATCTTTCAGATTGAAATCGTTAAATCTCTCTAGTGTTCTAGTGATCTGGATGTTGGCGTTTAGTAACTTTGCACTCCAAAACTTTTTTTTTATAATTAAGAAAAATAATTTTTTTGACGGAAGTGTAAGCTATCTTAGAAGGCAGTCCATCTAGGGCAGTGGTTCTCAAACAGTGCGGCGCGCCCCACAGGTGCGACGGAAGAGGATAGCAGGTGAGGCGGAATGATTGAAAGACAATAAAAAACAGAAACAGTTTCAAAAAATTAATATACCAAAAATATGATTTCAAACTTTAAAATATTATTATGGATTACTTGTAATTGCATGCATGACTCCCAGTATAAATAGTTATAAATAATTATTGACCGATTTTATCATTGTGATATTTTTGCATTATATCAAGTATTAAGAATATAATAATTAGGGCCCGCAAATTGGAGGATTGAGTCATCCGTGATAATGATAATGTTCTGATTTTGGTTATCTCGCTTTAACATGTGCTCTGATTTTTTTTTTTTTTAATGTTTTTGTCGCATAAAATTCGTTGAGACGCGAGCAAATTTGCATCCCGAATATGTGGCCCAGAGAAATCATGTTTTGGAAACCACTGATCTAGCGGAATGAAACCCTCTGATTTTACGCCCACCTCGCTTCCTTGTGTTTTTTTATCCAAAACACGAAAAAATCTATGGAAGTAAATACAGATAGAAAACCCTGAATAGATCCTCATAGTCGGTCGGCTCTCAAAACTGACAATTTTTCTGCGACTCCTGCAGCTAAACCGTCCCTAAAATGTAATACCCTGTATTTCTTTGAATCTTGTCAATACGATCGAGATTAGGGGAGGGGCTTTAGTCTGGGCAGTGCACCGGCTCTATATACTATCCCCAGTTTAGGAGAAGGAAAACTCTGAATTCAAACTACCTGCTGCCTTGTAGGTCTCGCCTCTTTAACTTCTGTGAGAGGGGGACGGGGTAGCCTCAACATCCCCCGGTGCAGAAGAAACCAGTAAGCCATTGCACTATTCTGCCTTGAATGACACCATGAAGTACAATTATGAGATGGCGGGAAGTAGTGAAAAAAAAAAAGAATGAATGAAATGCAATCTATCAGAAAGGATAATGTATAGTTTCATTAAAAACTTCGTGTTGTAAAATAAATTTAACCTGGAAAATTTTGACTGTAACCATCCGTAAGTACACATCACTTGAAAAAAAAAACAATCAATGACTATGTTTCATGATTACTAATCCATAAGAGATGACCATTACCCTGTGTTTGTATCGTCGACGACAACAGATACTATGCAATAAATCGATTTTACCCGAAAGAAAATCTGTGGATGCACAATAAACATTATAGACATATTTGCAGTTAGAATTGTTAACAAATACCTGAGTTCTCTTCTTATCTTAAGTGGAATCATATATATATATATATATATATATATATATATATATATATATATATATATATGCTATTTTGATAAAATGGAATTATTTTATTGCTCTTTCCACACATCAAGCCTTTAAATATACGTGACTGTCCTCATTCAGTGTTCTCTTATGAATAGTAGAAATTGTTGTGACTGGAACTTTATTATTACCAAATTGATAACGGTCAGTATTTTACCAAAATGTATTTATGGTGTTAATATTTGCTGCCAATTAAAGGAGCAACTTTTGTGTAGATAGATAGATAGATAGATAGATAGATAGATAGATAGATAGATTATGTGATTGCCATGTGTCTTACAGAAAATGCACTTGTTGTTGAAGAAATGATCACGTTCATTTAACTCAGTCTTTTTCTTCCTTGAGAGTTGACGGAAAAATTATCAACGCAGAATGATAAGAACAAGGAGAACGAAACAAATGACAATATAAGAAAAAAAAATATTTACAGCATGAAATAAATAGGACAACCACTCAGTGAATTTCTGCTTTGACTCGAAAAGATGAAAGTAACTTCTTTTCCTCATCCATAATTATATTGTCATTTTTTCTCCCGAACGACCAAGTCGCGGCAAGAGGAAAGAATTATCTCCCTTTGTCTTTTGGGGTCCGGCTGTCTTAAACACTCTCCGTATGTATGTGTGTTACTGTCTTTTGTTTTGTTTTTAATGTGGTTCCCAATTTTGTTTTTCTGTAAACAAAAGCGACTCTCTTCTTTGGGAAATCAACGTTTCTGCTGAGATTGGAAGAAAACGAATCGATTATTTTCTCTAATTTTGCGGGATTTGATTCAGTTTATATCTTTCACACCTGTTTTAACAATATATATATATATATATATATATATATATGTGTGTGTGTGTGTGTGTGTGTGTGTGTGTGTGTGTGTGTGTGTGTGTGTATTTGTATGTGTCTACATGCATGGTTATATGTATGTGTATATGTATAAACGCATATATATGTGTGTGTATATATATGTGTATGTGTATGTGGGTGTATATGTGTGCTTATATATATATATATATATATATATATATGCATGTATGTAAATCCGTTGGTAAGTAATCCATATAGATTCTATTAATAGAAAATATTAAAACGGATCCACAAAAGAGAGATCAATATAATTTTTTTTATTATAGAACATATAAGTGAATTACGATTAAAGATTCAAACAATTTACATACAGATGAGCATTTCGTCCATGGAAAAGAAGTTTTTCCTTGGACTTATCAATGCAAATACATTTAATAAAATGAATGAACGCCCACGTGTCTTTACAGGAAATTTGAAAGGTAAACGAAGGAAAAAAAGATAAAAAAGGAGAGAGAGTAAGAATTGGCCTATAATAGAGGAGCGAGTTATGTAGATATAGAGGGATAAGGGATCGAAGGTGGTTGTGGTGGAATCGGGTACAGATAAACGCTACTGTTGAAGATGGACGCTGACCTAAATGAAACCTATCAACACCTGTGCAAAGAGGAAGGATGAAAAAAAGGGGATAAAAACTGCCAGAAAAGAGTTTCAAAGAATATAGAATAAGAGCAAGAATTTAAAATTAATACTTTTATAAAAAATATGTTAATATTAATCCATTTAATACTAAATCTTTAACTATATAGTAAAAGATGCAGTAAAAAAATTTTAAGTAAATTATTAGTATATTAATTTCATTTAAAAATAACCAATCTCATTATATCAATATAATATTAATATTTCAAATATTAAATTTATAATTTAAATTATATCAAACATACTTATTTAAAAATTCTGAAAAGGTTTAAATTTAAATTTAATATATATATATATATATATATATATATATATATATATATATATATTAATATTAAAATAAGGTAATCAACAAGAAAGCAAAAGGAAGTTAGAGGAATATAAAGGAATTAAAAACATCATAGGCCTAAGTAATGTATGTAAAAAATAGTATAGTTAACGGAGGAAAAACAATTAAATATAGAAGAAAATTCTATATATAGAAAACATGTAACAGGGAGAGAAATATTTAGATATAGAAGGAAATTCCATATCTCAAAATCAATTACATATATAGAAAAAATTTACATATAGTAAAGATATCACAATATAAAAAATTGACATATAAAAAATATAAATGAAAGAGAGGGGTGCGAGGTTCGGCTAATACTATGTTAGTTGAAATTTGTTCCTGTGGTGACACTTGGAGTGAGGGGTTTGAAATAATATTATGTCAGTTGGAATTTTTTCCTATAGCGACACTTCATTTCTTTTGTTTAGTAGAATATATTGTTTCTTAAATTTCATGATTTTAATTTTTTCCCCCAAATATAAATTACATCTACCCTTAAAGCTATTTGTAGTCTGTGCAAAACCTATAAGTTCCTAGTCGAGTTGAAGCTTCAGGTTTTTCTCCCTCAATCCTCAAAATGTTTGGGAGAGAATAGTTTGATGTTTTAGTCTTGGGATGGAAAAAGAATGTTTGTGGTTATAATGTCTTTTCCCCATTCCCCCGCAGAAATTCAAATATAAACTTGGTGGTTTGATTTATTTTTTTTAGAGTAAATGGTGGCTTTATAAATAACATTAGATGCTCTACATTTTCCCTCAACTGGGCATTTTCCCTCAAGTGGGGGGTATTAGAATTCTTGTTGACATCATTGAATTTGTTAAGGGTATACTTGTTGTGGGAGTCATTTACTCTAAACATGTTGTTAGTACATGAATAACTTATTTTAATAGTTTTTTCTATTAAAAATCTTACCTAGAGAGTTATTATTCTGAAAATGACATAATATATAGAGAGTGGGGGAAAAGAAATATTTGTACACATACAAATTTTTAATTTTTTGTATTTCCAACTAATGAATAAGCATACTTTTCATATAATTAGCTCTACACATATGCATAATAATTAAATAAGCATGAAAATAGAAACAAATTGATTTAATAGCAATAATTCTCAGTTACCCATTTTAATGGGTGAAAATATATTCGTACAATGCAAATTTCAGATTTTAAAACTTTAAAATTTCTTTAATATCCCAAAGTGGAATATTCTAGAATGTTCCAATAATGTTATCAGTTCTTATTTTTAGCTTAAAAATACAAACAGAACCTTCTTTAATTGATATTCGTGCAAGAAGGTTATCTTCATGACAAGAGTTAAAGAATTGACAAATTCGCAAAAAGCTCAGGAAAGACGGTAAAAATTACAAGAAAATCTCAGACATCCTGAATATTCCATTTACTACCATTCATTGCACGCTATAGAAAACTCAAAACTGTTGAAAACCAAAGAAGAACAGGTGCTCCACGAAAGATTTCTTCAAGATCTTTAAGGGAACGAATGCGTCAAATTAAACAAAATCAAATGGTCACTCGTCAGGAGTTGCATGATGATTTGCTTTCATCAGGATTCTGTCTCACTGAACGGACAATAAGCAATGAAATTCATAGGAACAGTCTAAAGTCATGCTCCCCTCGAAAAACTATATATATAAAAAAATATATATATATATATATATATATATATAAAGAGAAAGAACAGTCAGATTAAGAATACACAGTTCTTTAGCAATTACCTTAAACGTAGAGCATAAATTTTTTTATATATATATATATATATATATATATATATATACAGACACACACACACACACACACACACACACACATATATATATATATATATATATATATATATATATATATATATATTCCTGTTATGGTGTTAGGTATATATACCGTGAATTGGATCGTTAAAAATATAATTTGGCAATACCACCTGAAGAAACCTTATGGTTGAAGCCCGAGTCATTTAACCGATAAATACTACAATTTATATATATATATATATATATATATATATATATGGGGGGGTTGTGAGAAAGAGAGATCATGATATAGAAAAATTAATAACGTCGTCTGTCACTTATTTCTGTTCTTCCTCTTCACCTCACTTTTGAGCCGCTGTAACAGAATAAATTAACTTTATATATTTATATATTTCCCTGCATTCATTTTTGGTAACACATTTCCGTACATATAAATTTACAATCTTGCCAAATATTCTTTTTCTGCATGAAATACATATGTAAGTAGAGTGGGTTGCCAAATTCTACATTCTTAGAAAATATCTTACAAGAGTTTATGTTATTCTCGCACTGTTAAAGTTTTTCAGGAAATTTCAATTACTGTTTGTGAAACTTCCCAAAATGGTAAAAAACTAGAATTTTATTGAAAAAGTAAACTTATTATTAACTCTATCCTTCATTTCTAATAATAAATCTGCACACTATTTACTAGGTTGACCAGAAAGTTCTGACTGCCTTATGAAACGGAAAGAAAACAACAAATAATTATCTCTGTCTGGTGGAATTTCCAAGGAAACCTTGTTCCACACGGTCGCGCCATCAACGCTAGACTCTATTGCCAGTAACTAGACCGCGTGTACGACAAACTAATGAAGGAGTATCCTGCTTTGGTCAGTTGAGGTCGGGTTTTATTTCAGTAAGACAGTGCAAGGCCAAACACTTACAGTTTGACAAAGAAAAAGTTCAAACAGATGGACAGATGTTGAAATTCTTCCACATCCACCATTCAGTGTCGATGCTGCTCCGAGTGACTATGGCCTATTCCGCTCGATCCGTGACCAGCGATTCAACAATTTTCATGAAATGAAGAAAGATTTATATATATATATTTTTTTTATTTAAAGCAAGCGGACTGGTATCTGGGACAAATTCGGATCCTCGAGGATGATGGACTTTATTTTGAAGAATAATTGTTGGTGTTAGTGCATAAACTTTTGTGGCTTTCTTTCCGCTTCTTAAGGACTTTCTGGCCAAGCTAACATTTAATTAAATGTTTCAGCTCTCTGAGTGATAACTCTACTGATTTATTTCCTCCTTCTGACCTCAGCTGTTTCGTTTGTGTACGTTAAGTTAATCACTGAGAAAAGAATCGCTAATACAATTCAAGAATAAATTTTATTAAAAAGCTTCAGGAGAGAAATGATTATAAAATAAAAAGTTAGTCAAAATTGACGGAAGTAGCGAGTGAAGTTTAGATATGAAAGTAAGATTATTGGTTGAAGCAAAAGAAAATGCCAGCAGTCAGTTCATCTGTAACTCTGAAAGTACTGCAAATTTCAATGGTAGAGTTAGGACTTAAAGTTGGTACCTACACTAATTAGTTATAAAAGAGAATATCATGATAAAAGTTTAATTGTTTATGTTATTTCTAAGAGAATGGACGAATATATTTTGTGATTATTTAATTATGATTTTTAATTCTTTCTTGCACGTCCAAAATTTTGCTTAAAAGTATTGTTTTTTTCTTGCGCCAGCAGAGGCTGGATTGCAAAGATTATTATAGGAAATTTCCGTGTCTTTTTCGCTGTAAAAGTCCACTGACTTGTAAATTCTTGCAAAATCAAATAATTGTCAGATATTAATTAAATTTTCAGGACTTATTCACAAATATATTAATTTATTTAAAAAAATTTTAAAGAAAATCTTGGTAAAAATTTTTGTTTAAATCATTTACCCTGAAAAACACTTATTTAGTTTTATGAAATTTCGAGAAATTAAATTTCATCCACTTAATATCAATATTAATCAATAGCAGAATTCCTTGGCGAATTTAACTCATCAATTCTTTTTTGTAAAACAGAAACACCAGTTATCTAAATCGTAAAATATAAAATGCAATAAAACTAAGACATTGTTTAATTAGAAAAGCTTTTAATTGTTTTTATAAATATGATATACTATATTAAGTCACTATTTTCTTAAGAAAAAGAATTCGATGAATAATTAATTTTTACAAGAATTGTTTTAATTTTTTAATTTTAATTAGAATAAATTATAAAGTTTAAAAATCTTTAAAAATTTTGCATTAATTTTAGCCTTTTAGTATTAAGTAAAAATATATTTACTGATCATAAATAAAGAAGCTTAGTACAATTTATCAAACACCAATATATTTAAAAGAATTTTGATTTTTTTTTTCTTTTATATGTTAAACGTGCAGATTTTTATAGATGACCATAGACGCATTATTAGAAAATAAGAGCGATAACAAAAGTAAATTTAAAGCCAAAGTATCTATCATTCAATAAAACATGGATTACGGAGAAAATTTTCCTATTTTTTTAACGATTACTCAGTAGTTAAATATAATATAACAATGATGCTCACGTCATTTTCTTCAATTATGTTTGACAGATAAAAACATTAGATCCGTAGATCATCACGCTGTCAGCACGCCAACACCTTAAATAAACAGCTACTGTCAGGTTAAAAATGCATTTCTACAATACTTTAAACTCAAAGTAAATAAAATTTGTTTCAAAACAGATTAATTATACTTTAAATCAGCTAATATTTATTAAATGAGATTTCAGAAAAGTATATTTTATTTTTAAAATATTTTAATAAAGAGAATTACATTCTGATAAACAGTGGCTAAAATGGTTCTAAAATCAATTTTTTTAGCCAAAAAATCCCCTTCCAGTCAATTTAAATTAGTTTTGAAATAGAGCAAAGTACTGGGAATATTAAATTTAATTATTAACTTGAAATTAAAATTAAAATAAAAGCTTCAAGAAAGATTTTTCATTTTCAATCGTTAATTTTACACCTTAGGTACCGCGAATCTGTGGAGGTACCTAAGTTAAAGTATATAATTCCATAACAAAGTAAAAAAAAATAATTTAAAAAATTACGTTAAAAAATAATAATTAAAAACATGGTAAGACTTTTTTCAAATGCGCAACAAACAGTCAGATTAAATTACAGATTTCCTCGTTTTTCCTTTGTTGTTGTTATTCATAACGTTTCGGCCGTTGTACTTTCCGGCCTTCATCAGGTAACTTTGTTGATCCGGGTAACCTTCAGGAATTTTGAACGTTATTTAACGCTTTATTTATTTTCACTTTGCTGAACATGTCCTATTTAGTTGTTCTTTTACTATTGCTCAGTTATTACTCGCTTAAGTACACACTATCCACGGATTGAATTCCCCGTCGTTTGTTTGCCATCACCGAGACTTTTTTTTTGTTTTTATTACATTTGAAACCTTAATGTCATTTCTCTTTATTTATTTATTAATGTCTCCTCGTATTTATTTATGCTCTACCTACTAACGATATCCTCATAGCCTAGCGGATTCTTTCAGACATCTCATACTCCATTGTTACACCCTGTCAAGTATTTTCACTTGATTAATATTACGTGTGCTTTCTTCGGAAAGTTTGGATCCAAAATGAGAAGAATGGTACGAAACTCACGAAGAAAATCTTTATTCCACGGTGATTGATGTCTACCCATTTCCCTCTATACATGATTAGCCACCCATGATTTCATTGTTGCACACCTAATTATGACTTTACGATGTTTCTCCAGCCTTACTAACTCCTTGATCATTCTATAATCACAATTCTAATATGCCAGCAAGTGGGTGAATCTATAATGTTACGTAGGCATTCATCGGAGTGTTTGTCTCTAATATGAGAAGAATGGTTCAGGTCATGTATTACGAAATCCATGAAGAAACTCTTTTAAAATCAACCAGAAAACACTAAGAACTGTGCGTTGTATGCAACTTTACCTATCAACAGAAAACAATCCACACTATAGTCAATTCTACTCAGCAAGGTTCAGATGAAAGATCAATAATCAAAAGTCAGCTCTGAATTTATTAATCTATTGAGAATCTGTGACGATGAGAGATCTAAGTGATACATCATTGTTCGTTTTCAAATTTGTTTAATGAATTTTTTTATTAATAATGATATAAAATATCTTCGGCTTGACGTGAAAAATATTTATCCTGTAAGCAACTGAAGCAGATATTGAGGCACATACAGCGTCCATTAAATATTAATCCCAAAGTGGCAAATGGTTGTAAAACGACGGAAGTTTCAAAAACACGAGATAAAATAATGCAGTGATTAAACTTAGCACGCAGAAACTATAGTGTATTGTCAGCGTTTCTATGCACCTGGACTAGATCTTGTCAGCATAAAGAGAACAAGCAAACAGTGTTTTGCACTACCAAATTCTGATTGGATGCTAACCATTGTTGTTTTCGTTCTCTTTTCATCATTGAAGATATTCTACCTTAGAAAGGTTCAGTAGCAGTTTTGCTCTTCAAGAGAGCAATTCTTTGATTAAGCTGAAAAGATTGATGACGAGAAACCCACTGACCAAGTTTGGGTACTGATCAAAGTCTGACATGCAATGAGCTGTTTTTCCTCAACTACGGCTTGCAAAAGCTGAATAGTGACAAATCTTAGCCGTCTAGATCAATTGAAACTGGCATCTTTAATATGTCTAGACACTTAAAGCTTCCTTTTCATGGACAGAACGTATATTTCATGCCACTTCCGTTGCTAAAGAACTCTTTTTAAATTAATACAGCATATAGTGTTTGATATGACTAATTCCAAAAGTAAAAATTGATTCCAAATTCATTCACTCATTCATTAAGTAATCTGAAAAGAAAAAAAGAAAACATAGAAAACGCAAAAACTAATAGTGTTTGTTTTTTATTATCGCAAGTATTGAAAAAGTACCTTTAAAATGATCGTATCGAAAATGCAACTGACCCTTCTTTTCTAGCGAATAGAATCTCATGAAATCAACCCAGCTTGAGCTTCTTGTTTACATTCTAACTAGACACTAACCAAAAGCATGAAGCCAGTGTTACAGAAAAAGGGTTCAAATTTAAGAAAATGCGTGTTTTAGACCAATGGTTCACAACTAGAGTTCCATGTAACATTACTGGGGTCCACACACACACAGACAAAAATAGCAATTGGGGTTCCACAGTAATATTTTAATGGCCATAGAGCAATTTCACTTCCGAACATTTGTTACAACTGAGAAGTGGGATTTCTACAGTATTCTACAACAACATATTAAAATACTAAAGATAGAAAAACAACTCTAAAATTTGCAGAAAATGAGATCAAGCGGTTTAAGTTAGCGTCCCTTTTACTCTACTGGATGTTCTGATTGTAAAAGTTGAATAAAAAAGGAAGGATATATAAATGAAGTATTATATATATAAAAAAAATTATATATAGAACCAAATGCAAAATAATTTAATTCCAAAATATATTTTAACCTATTTTACTTTCTTCTCTTGAATCCACCATTTTACATAAAAGAACCCATTAATAACTAATATGAACACAGCTTCACATGCATGGATATATACTTATGTGGGTGTACCTATATGTGCAATTTCCATTGTGTTTTAGATTTACTACAATTCTTGTGTGCGTCTGCATAGGTATATGTGTATTTTACTTACTAATATTTTTGTGTACGTGCGAGCGTATTTGTATGCATGCGTTTGTGTGCATCCGTGTGTTTCGGATTTTCTATAATTCTTACAATGAGTTTCATATTTTCTGTTTCTTAATTAACTTTTTTCATGTTAAATAACCAATTAGTCAATTATTAATTTCTTTAAATTAGCAACAAAATCACTGCGTATATTCCGAGACAAACCGTTTCAAATTCATCACTGTGAAATTGTCTAATCTAATTGTCAAATTCCTTAGTGTGTTGGCTACACTTTCGAAGAAAGATAAACGAGATGGCAGTAAAGTCTGTACACAGAAAACCACAAGAGAGTACCTGACATCTACAGTAGTTATCCCCTTATCCGTGACAGACATGTTCCAATTTCCCCTCGTGGATGCCTCAAACCGTTGATAATACTGAACCATTATAGATCAGGCTGTAACAACATAAATAACAGTTTCGAAACATGAATGTATACCGCGAAACTTCGGCTCAAATCATAATTTTTGGTCAAAGTACACACTATCAGAATAGTGACAATGTTATCAATGATTTAATAGCGAATTTATTTCTTCCGTGATACAAACTAGGATCAAGGAAGTCAACACGCTTGAAGGCATTTTCGACCTCGTTCTCATTAAAGGACATTTGCTGACTTGTATATTTTTCGAAGCCCTGTAAAATATAGGTAGCGCTATCCGACCATAGAATAGGCAATTTCACTTTATCACTGAAAACCAAAATCTCTAATTTTTGATGTCCCAGTTTCACAATCAACCCTCATCGTCTAACCAAGTTTACAGAGGCTCTAAAGACCAAAGACTATGATTCTGTTGTTATACAGAAGCAATGCTATTCAACAATGCCTTTTCTATCAGATGTTATATGAGGGGATACGAATATTGAGTTTATGGCGATAATAATGCGTTATTTTCAACTGAGCCTCAAAGCAGAATTCGAAAAGTTTGAGGATATAAAACTATACAGCTCAAAACTGGATTAAGCGATTTAAGGATGGCGGATTATCGCTTGAAATAAAGCCTAATATGGGCGAGCATCATTTGTCTAATATAATACTTTAAAACAGATGAGAACTAAATAAAAGGTAATCGACAAATTTCAAAAGAGTTAGAATCATTGAAAGATGTAGTTTCTTATATAAATTTCAGAAAACATACCGGAGCTATCAAGAGTTTCCACTTGAGATTAAAAAAAAATGAAAAATACTAAGAAAACCTTTTATTTAATCTGCCAGGATAAATCGTTCTCGTTCTGATGTTCATCTTTAATTATATCTCATCTTCTTTTTTACTACTGGTCAGTTTGGGCTTATGAATACATCTCGTTGAAACACTGGTTCTAGTACGATCACCGAAGTTAAGCAACGTCGATCCTGGTCAGTACCTAGATAGGTGACCGCTTGGGTATACCAGATACTGTAAGCTTGGGTGTGCGGTGGTGTAATTGATAACGGCTCAGAATTAGAGATCGGAGGGCCTATTTCCAATACCCGTTGGATTCGTTATATTCACTTATACGAAAATATTCTTGTGAAAGGTATAAATGCACTTCTTTTTCCCCAGCTATGGGTTAAATAGTAAGACTTGTATCACTGTTATGGGACCTTACCCATAATAACATAATGGACTATTTCATAAGTAATAAATACTGCGCCTCAATAGGAAGCAGAGAGTTCAGTCTGAAGTCGGACGACCGGCTGACCGGCTGATCGGTTGAACTCTCTGCCTTCGGGCGGGGAGGAACCTGAACGAGGCTACGCCGAAGGCGAGTCTCTTTCGGGAGGTAAACCGACCCTGAACCTGCTTATACGGGTTCAAAGGGCATATTTTTGCCGAGCCCACGGGATCGGAGATCCCCGTTAAACCGGCCTTGTGCCACATGATGCCATCGTGGGTGGGGAGATGACTAAATACTGTTCAGTCTGAAGTCTGGAGGAGGTACGTCAGGAGTCTGTCAGTCAGTCAGAGCGAGTCAGTCACTCGAGTCAGTGGCAGTCGAAACAGAGTCGCGTTTCAGACAATTACTACTAAACCTGATTGTTCTTACTAACACTTTCTACTTCTCTGTATATATTCCTCTTTGTAATATATCTGTTATTCCATATACGTGTTCGAGTTCTTCTTTATTGGTTCTACCTTGGACTATCACCGTGGTTCAAGGAACCGGACCATAAGAGTGGCGACGAGCCATTCGAATTCATTCGGTGGAAGAAAAAAAAATTTCGTTTGCCACTGCATAACAAGTGGCGACGAAGATTCGAACTCTCGCGTGAAGAACAAACAACAAAATCCTCTCTCGTCAACATAACAAGTGACGACGAAGGAACCCCTAAAACGGAAATACGAACTCTATACACGGAGGACTTATTTTTTCCTATATTTTTTATTTTTTACGTCACACATAACAAGTAGCGATCTGGAAAACCCTTAAAGAAAAATAAACTCCATCCTCGGAGGGCATTTTTTTTTTTTGCTATCTGTCGTACGTAACCATGGACGACGATTAAATCCTAAAAAAAATTTCTTTTCTTGATATCAAATTTCACTGACAACAAAGGAAAGTTTTATTTAAAAAAATACGTTAACATGGAAGATTTTAAGTCAACCATTATGGAACTTATCAAAATCCAGTTTGAACAACAACAAAAACATCTGGAAATGCAAGAGTTATTGATACGTGCAATGGCATATAAGGAGCAAAAACCCGAGAACGAATCAGTTCTCTCTCAAGACGCTATTTGGAGTAATATCGAAGATTTCAAATATGCACCCGACGAAGATAAAACTTTTGCAAATTACTTCCGAAGGTATGAAGATCTATATGATTTTGACTGCAAAGATTGGTCAGACGAACGCCTTTTATTAAGAAAATTAGGCACAGGCGAATATACCAAATTAGTTGATTATATATATCCCAGATAAACAAGCGAGTTAACGTTCAAAGAATCTATAAAATTGCTAACGGAACTTTTCAGCCATAATACTTCACTATTTCATAAAAGATGGAAATGCATGAACCTTACAAAAATGCATAGCGAAGATTATGTAACTTTCGCATCCATTGTTAACAAATATTGTGGTGACTTCAAATTATCGGAACTCAGCGCTGACAACTTCAAATGCTTAATTTACGTCCAGGGCCTGGTTTCAACCAAAGACGCAGAAATGAGACGTAGAATACTTACTAAATTGGAAAATGAACAAGATCTGACACTTCAAAAACTAGCCAAAGACTGCCAGAGATGCGTCAGCGTAAAAAAAGACTTTTAGAGACATAGAACAAGCTGGCATAGCATACATGCGCAAAGTACGAAGACAAACAAATTTTCCCTCCTCACAAACAAACCGAACTGATTTTCCCGCCTCAAGAACAGGTAAAACAAAATTTTCCAATTATAATCAACACAAAAAGAAACTACAACCAAGTCCATGCTATCGTTGTGGGTCTTGGCATTGGGTTAAAGACTGTACATACCGTGCTAAAACTTGTCTCTCATGTAAAAAAATTGGTCACAAAAATTCTCACTGTTGGTATAGAAAAGAAAGCAGAATAAGAATTACGAGGACCGACCAAACAGATGAGACTAATATAAGAAAATATGTACAAGTTGAAATGCAAAACAGAAAAGTTAGGTTACAGCTGGATTCTGGCTCAGACTTAACTATCATAAATCTACAAACATGGAGAAAACTGAACAAACGAATAAAACGAATAAAATTGCGAGATCAGTTACGGGGAGAAAGATAAAATTCGACGGTGAAATAATCACAAACGTAACATTTAACGGAATGACGAAAAAACTAAAAATGTACGTCTTAAGAAATACCGAAAATCTATTCGGGACAGACTGGATGACAAAAAATTCGAATTGTGGGATCTACCTATTAGCACCTAGTGCCAGAATGTAAAAAGCTTATCAACCGAGGCAGACAAATTAAAAGGCAAACTAAAATCAAGTTTCCCCGAAGTATTTTCGGCAGGTCTCGAAAGATGCAAGAAAATGGCAGCTAATATCAAAATAAAGGATAACGTTCAACCTATTTTTAAGAAAAAAAAAGGAGTGTACCTTTTGCGTCAATAGAAAAGATTGACCAAGAATTATCTAGACTCGAAAATACGGGCATATTGAAAAAAGTAGAGTACAGCAAATGGGCTGCACCAACGGTTTACGTTAAGAAGAAATCAAGAGAAATTCGAGTTTGTGCTGATTTTTCTACAGGGTTGACTACCACTATCCGCTACCTAGTCCTAAAGAAGTATTCACTAAATTAAATGGCGGAAAGTATTTTTCAAAAATTGATCTAAGTGAGGCCTACCTGCAAATTCCAGTCGATGAAGAAAGTTCAAAACTACTATGCATAAACACACACAAGGGATTGTACAGATACCAAAGACTACCATTTGGAATTGAAGTAGCGCCGGCTATTTTCCAGCAGACAATGGATACGATGCTGGCAGGACTGGAATACACAATAGCATATCTGGATGACATATTGATTAATAGCGAAAGCGTTGAACAACACTGGCAACATGTACAAGAAGTGTTTAAGAGAATTCAAAGCTACAGATTCAAAGTGAAAGAAAATAAGTGTGATTTTTTCATGAAGGAAATTAAATATCTTGGTCATATAATAGACCAAGAAGGTAGACGTCTAGACCTTGAAAGGTCTACAGCAATAAAAAAGATGCCAGTTCCTAAGAACATAACAGAACTACAAAGTTTTCTTGGATTAGTGAATTACTACCAGGGATTCATACCTCAAATGCATAAACAGGAAACATTTGAAAAAATAATCAAGACATTAACATCGGATTTATTTTTGGCTCACTATGATCCTAAACTAAAGATTATTGTAGCAAGTGATGCGAGCGCCTACGGTGTCGGAGCGTGTATATTACATAAAATGCTAGATGGGACAATAAAACCTATCGCACATGCTTCTCGAACCCTGCTACCAGCTGAGAAAAACTATTCACAAATTGAGAAGGAAGCTCTAGAAATTATCTTCGAAGTAACAAGATTCCATAGATACGTCTATGATAGACACTTTACTCTGCAGACGGATCACAAACCGTTAATAAAAATTTCTGGTTCAAAAAAAGGTACACCGGTGTACACGGCAAATAGGCTACTTAGATAGGGAACGATTCTTCTGAACTATAATTTCAGATTGGAATATTTACCAACGAAAAGAATCGGGCACGCGGATGGTCTGTCGAGACTTATACCAACAAAGACAGAGCCATTGGAAGATACGGTAATCGCAGCCCTTAGAAATGAAGAAGACATAAGAACAGTACTATGTTGTACAGTCAGAAACCTCCCAGTCACATTGCAAGACAGAAAAAATGAAGCCAAAGATGACGAATTTATTAAGGAAAAAAAAAGCAAAAATGGCAGAAAAAAATGAGAAAATTTCGGACAGCTTTTCTCTATGCGATAATAATAAAATAATATATAAAATAATATGCGATAATAATAAAATAATTATAAAATAATATCTCTTGCTGGGATAAGGGATAATTGAGAAAAGAATTGGCAATATGATGTACATAGTTCAAGGAAAAAAATTCTCACACAGAAGACACGTAAACCAAATAAGGAACAGATCATTACAGGATGCTAACGGTCCACCTAAAGAAGAGGAAGAAGAGGTATTGGACACGATTTTCGACACATTCGATATAAAAAGACCGCAAATAATGCCAGAACCAAGAAAATCGTTATGAAAAAGAAAATTTACTGAACCTTTGGAAATAGATCCAAAGAAAAAAAGATATTAAAAAAAACCCTGCTACGCAAAATTTTCGGAAGTGGGATGTTATGGGACCTTACCCATATAACATAATGGATTATTCCATACGTAATAAATACTGCGCCTCAATAGGAAGCAGAGAGTTCAGCCTGATGTCTGGAGTGAGGTCCGTCAGGAGTCTGTCAGTCAGTCAGTCAGTCAGTCAGTCAGAGCGAGTCAGTCAGTCGAGTCAGAGGCAGTCCGGAACAGAGTCGCGTTTCAGACAATTACTACTAACATTTTCTACTTCTCTGTATATATTCCTGTTTGTAATATATCTGTGTTATTCCATATACGTGTTCGAGTTCTTCTTTATTGGTTCTACCTTGGATTATCACTGTGGTACAAGGAACCGGACCATAACAATCACTAAATCATTATTGTCTCCCAAAAATATTCTTACAATCTAAAAATATTTTCTGGCTTTAAATAACCTGAAAAATGTTGATAAGCCGTATAAAATGAATCAATCAAAGTTATTACTCGCTAAGATCTAATGGCTCAGTCATTTTCAGAGGTTATGCTTATTATTGAACCTAGGGATCGACCTCCATATTCTGATAGCAAGAGGATCAACAAAAACAATAATTTCACGAAGGTTGAACAACTTTTAAAATCTCAAAATTT